CACAATGAAATTCAGGAGAACTTCAACTAAACTTTATTCTGGATGGCTCAGAGCCCACCAGAGTACCAACTTAATTGTTGTTACTCCTTTTTTATATGATGATTTCTCACCTTTTCTGAAGACCACTAGCTTCACGTGTCAATTAAGATTCAGTATGAGCATAACTCAACAACAGATTCTTCTGTAGGACTAGAAAGGATACGGTGAGCAGGTCTCTGAACTGATGTCACTGAAGTTGGCGACCAAACGGTCTATAAATACTGCAATAAATGCTGACATCTCAGCATATGAAGTTCAAAGTGAATAGTTAGTAGATTTATTTTAAAACATTGCATTAAATACATTGTTCCAATTGTTTCTGAAAAAAAAAAACCACTTTGGAAAGATGGTAGAGCATCTCTTCAAAAGGCTAAATTTGATCATCCCATAGATCTTCAAATGTCCTAATATGACCCCAAAATACTACTTTGGGTTGCTTGGCTGATTGCAGCCCAATGAATTGTTCTCCTGCACCACAACCTCAGGGTGAGGGCGAGGCCCGAGGGCCAAGGGACGAAGACTTTCCTCAGATGGTGCCCAAGAGCAAGAACATCAAGGGCTGAGGTGTGAATGCTGGGGAAGTGTAGCTGAAGGTGTGACCACACTAAAGGGGGACGCTGCCACCCACCTTTCTGCCTCCCATCCTCAGCTGAAAATACTCAATTTTTGTGTTGGGACTGGGGAAAGAAGGAAGAGAGGAAAAGAAAAAAAAATGGGGGGCAGGGTTTGAAATCTGTGTTTCCAAAGACACAGCTGTTTAAACACAGGCTTTACAAAGGACATCACAATAGCCGATAAACAGAGGTTTTCACATATAATATAAAAACTGGCAATGGTTTATAATATTTATCTACAAATCAGCAAAAATGGAAAAGCAGCAGCCCTATTCAGTAAGCTTTCATACACAAATGTTAGAAGTATGAATTGTTATTTCAGTAACACGATTTTGAAATATCTAACAAATTGCAAAATACACATACCATTTTCTCCAACAACACTATTTCCAGGAAGTGAACCTGTAGACGTGTTTAATGAGGTGCAGAAAAGTATGTACCAGGGTTTTACACTGCAGCCCTATTTAAAAGAGGAAAATAATGTGGATGCAATGGAAGTGGGTATCACAGGAAAATTTTAAACTAAATTATGTGCATCCTTATAATGGAAACTGTTAAAATAAAGTAGACATACCAGCACTGACAAACAGATATACGTGCACAATATATTTAATGAACAAAATTTACATTATAGAATATTGTGCATCACATGACCCACAGTTATAAAAACTAATGTTATGTGTTTGGTAATAAACACATTTCTAACAGTAATCTCTTGAGAGTATGATTATGGGGGAATCTACCTTCATACAAATTATTTTCATTTTTACCTAATTTTTCTTTTTACCATTGCACATTTCATGTTTATAATGTGAATCCAAAATATGAATATTTCTGTTTAAAATCTGGGAGATATAATATTTCTTGCCCCCAAACCTGAAAATGTAACACTAATAAGATACAAGTATTCTGTGGTTTTTGACAAAGGATTACTATAGAGAACACTAAATATTACTGGGGTGTTTAATAGTTTTCAGAATATTTTTTTAGTTCTAGGAGACTAGAAATTCTGACATTCACAAGAATCAATAGTTATTATCAAAACTATAGATAATTGTCAATTACTGTTTCATTCTAATTTAAAATGAATGCAGCTAATTCTATTCTATTTTGCTATTATTCAGAAATTTTGTGTAGTTATGGGTCTGCTTTTAATATGATGTGTCATCACTACAGTACCTTTATCTCCTTGAAGGTTGAGATTCCTTAATAGTAAAGGCAGAAAGCCTAAAAGGCTTACAATGTCTCAAGCAGGTAAAAAAAAAAACAAAAACAGGAAATCTATCAAGAAAAATAAAAATTATTTACAGAAAGATTTGGACTAGATGTTTGTAGCTACATTTCCATATTTGTGTTCTCCTTTTCAAAGTGCTATCATTTGTTATTTTCATACCAGTAGATGTTTAAGGACTACAGGAATATGAAACTCTATCATCACTTCTTAGAAAGTCCATCAGGTATTCTATTAAGTACATCTCCTGTTCAACGTGCATGATTCACAGTTTAGTCAGTTTTAATCTTCATAACTGTCTAATAATAAAATTCTTAGACATTCTGCATGTCAAGCATCATTTTCCCTTAGGCTACATAAATTAAATTGTAGTTTTGACTGGCAGCAATTAGATATAAATATATCTATACAAAGACTGAAATTAACAGTCCAACAAGTAAGTGAACTTCGTTGTAATTATTTTTAGAGAAAGAGCAAATGATCAATGTGACTATAACTCATGAGAGAAAGAGGGAGGGGAAAGCGGGTGAGCAGAAGGGGAAGGGGGCCAATGGACAGATGTCAATCCACATGAGGCACTTCGCTCAGGGCTTGACACATAATAAGTGTGGTCAGCAGATGCAATTACTATATGCAAACTACATTGTACCGTAAGCTGGTAGGTTAGAGTCAGTCTTCTCGAAGAATATAAACAATAACTTCAGAGCAAAGAGACATAGTTCATGAAAGGGTTGGAAAATCAGGCGGAAGGCCATTATCTACAGATGAAGTGCAGAACTACAGACATTCAGGGGAATTGCAGGAAACGGAAACTTAGCTATAGGAAATGATTTGCCTGTCATTATCTGGCATGCGGAGTATCACAATAAAGCCAGACCCCTCACAATATCATTACTAAAAATTCCAATTTAAATTGTTTGCTCGATTGCTTACAAGTCCTTTAGAGCAAAGACATGCATAATACAATACATATTTGCATTTCATGATCAAAAGGAACAACATATTGATAACTGTATATTACAAATATTACAAATATAATGTAACATGTATACAAAGATGCACATGTATTACATTTACCTTTATATAAAAATAATGGATTATCTGTACTGTCTTTTAGAGAATATGGTTTATAAAAATTGATGTAAGCCAAGTTAGATTAATTATGTAGTGAAATTCAAACTCTTTCCGCAGACCCCATCTGTGTATCAAAAAGGAGTTCTTATAAAAGTCTTGGGAAGGCAGGACTGGAACAAAGTGTACATTATAACTTGGGCTTCATTTATATACAGACTTCGGGCAGAAAAAGGTCACTAGCATTTCTTTCAGCACAGGCAGTGCCCTAAGGAGGAGTGTATAAGGCAAAAAAAAAAAAAAAGAATGTTGGAGGTAGTGAGCAGCAGAAAAATAGGACAGCGTGATAAGGTATGACTGTTATTGCTCTAGGTATTGCAGAAAACCCATTTCCTCTAATTGGCCATAAGCATCTTCAAAAGGATGTTAACCAAAAGAAGTGAGTTTTTGGGGTGTTGCCAATAAAACAAACATAAATGATACTTTTTGTAGCATATGTGTATGTTTCCAATAAAAGTGAAAATGTCTTTTACTGACACTCACATGAAAATATTACTGACCCAACATATTGAGTATTTCTTACACACACACACACACACACACACACACACACACACACACATTACACAAGCTCACAAAGCAAAACCAAAAGGAATTTTTAACATTTTGAAGCTTCACATCATTATTTCAACATGGCAATTATTGCCAGATATATCAAATACCTTTTTGTTAATTTAGAAAGAGTAGGTAAGGATGTCCTCTGTTTTACCATCTTTCTTCACTAATTATTATCTACAGCTACAAAGGAGTTTAACTATTTATGCAAGCATCTATTTTTTTAGGACAAATTCAATTATCATTTTCTCATCTTCTAAAGATAAAAATATGCACCCACATTGGAATATTAAAGAGTGTTGGCAAATATTTTTTCTACTTAGTATGTTTTCCTTTAACTTTATTGAAACGACTATTGCAATTTTGGAGTCTGTGCAGTCAGGTGAGAGGTTCAAGATGATTATGTGGAGAAAAGATGCTCCACTTGGGTAACTATCATTTATGTTTCTTTTGTCTCCTTTACTAAGAGCAAAATGGGACAAGCTCTCTGTTCTCTGGGAAACTATCCCTGCTCCTTGGACCCCCCTCATTCTCTCATCCCTTTCTTCCACCTCATGACAGTTTATCAGTGCATCAGTATTGGGAAAATAAATTTGCTAAATCATAACTAAGAAGAGGTTCACGGGAGTGTTGTCTCTGACTGCTGTTACCTGCCATGAAGTTACTCACTGTGTTCAAATGGGCCTCTCACCAGTTTTGTATATTGTAAATACAATGGGACAGCAAACTTATAACTAGAATATGTGAACATTTTAGGCTGTATGCTAATGGGTGATTTTTATCAATCTCTGGGGATGCTTGGTTAGGTAAAAAATGGGAACAACAAGGTTAAAAATATGAACAAAATTGGAAAAACTTCCCTATATACTAGGGTATAAGAATCCATGGTATGTTAGCAGGACCAATTCTGTCAGGGCTCTGGGAATATTTCAGGAATGGGTACAACCATTTTTTTTGGAAGTGTATTCCTGCCTGGAGCTCTGGAAGCAAATGAATGACTATTTACCATGCGTTTCTGCATTATGATTTTATGACAAGATACATTCTTTAATATTCTGGAGCTAGAACATAGATTTGCAACAAGCCCTCAAGCTTTTCTTCTATTTTGAAAATAATAAAAAGTATATCTAAGGAATTCCATATGTTAGGCAAATGAAACAGTCTTTGAAAGTTCATATAATAGCCTTATCTACGACTATTACTAACACAATAAAGTTTTTTTCTCTCTGTCAAAGAATAGTTAGAATTTTCCCCAAAAGTAATAGCTCTTGGCACATAAGTTTATCTCTGGAGGTCTGAAACAAAAGTGCAAAGTCCATCAAAATATAATAAAGGTGATCATTTCAGCTGCCTATTACCCAGTGATAACATTTGCTACACACATGGAAAGAAATGCTTAAGCAATGGAACAATTTCAGAGAATGACTTACCCTCCTTTAATATAGTCAAGGAATGAAACTTCTGTTTCTACCAAGAAAGAGAGTAAGGTTACCTGGGGAAAGAAAGAAAAGGAAGGAAAACAGAGCAGAATTACCTGCTAGAACTGACTGCAGTCTCAAATGGACTTTCTAATTAGCAGAGAGAAAATCGTATTTCCCGGCATTCTGACAATCAATATAGTGTTCTTTGTTACAATCTGCTAGGACTGATCATTCTTACATTTAACATCACCAGAAGGAAAGAGGCCAAAAAATTATTTAACTAACTCCTGTCTATAACCGGTTTACTTCCTTTGAAGAACAGGATGAAAATAATCTACAAGGACACGGTGTTATTACTTCTCATTTTAGATAAAAGGGAAGAGGAAAGGGAGCTGGAAAATGCTTAAAAAAGCTCAGAATCAGTGAGCTAAGCCATTCCAGGGGAGACGTGCTTGGGTCACGGTCCTCGAATGATGTCATCTAATATTTTAATGTCATGCTTTACAGAAATTTGTACAAGGAAACTTGGAGAGAAGTTAGATTTTGCTGGTCTCCCAAGGAGAGTTCATCTTAAGATAAAATCTGCAGTGCATTTTTATGGAAATTTGAGGATTTTGATTTTTCACAGTTTCAGATATTTTATCTCTGCACCTTGCTGTGTTGATCTAGCCCAGCATTCCTACAGTTATTTTAATGCACGATAAACAAGTACTTTCACATCCCATGCGTCTTAATAGTTTAGTGCAGCCTGTAAAGAGTATCGTATTTCTTATTACCACTTAAGTGTGTTTGTGTCTGCTCTCTAGCAGTATTCCACCGAATGGAGAATTCTTAACAAAACTTCCACTTCCTTCAGAAGTCACGTGGCCCCTAGGACAACCGCAGAAAGCTGGGCCTCTACCTCCGGTAAGGTGTTCTCCAGTCTGACCATTCTCACAGCAGGCTGAGTTTGCTTTCATAAACCTTCATATTAAAACCCTAAGTGAAACCGCTCAAGCTGCCATGAACGTCAATTTTGATCAAAATGGTATTTACCTTTTGTATTTATCTACTCGAACTCTGAATGAATAACATAGAATTTGACTTACTGTTCCTGAATTAGTGTATTTTTTCTTTTTTCCTTTCTTTTTGGGATTCACCACCTTAGAACAGCAGATAAAACAATGATTATGTGTTAGGTTTTACACTGAAATTTAAAAAATACATGTAGTTCAACCTGCATCTTCACTTCTTAGGCATTGATTCATTTACAAACACCTTTAGGTGACTCCTGGACAGTCATTCAGACAAAACATCTCTGCCAAAATGACTAGTGATCATCTTCTTTAAAAAAATCCTTTTTTTTCAGTAATACTCTTCTTAATCACTTAATATCCAAGGTCCTAAACAATAATGATTGCTTTGTAGAAAAACTAAGTTGTGAATGAAAAGTATATCCAAGAGACACAACTACAACTTTTTTTTTATGAGGTTAAATATACTAACATAGCAAATTACCCAAACATGTAATTATTTAAGGGCTCAATTCCTTGACAGCGGCACTACTTTCCACCAGACACCCTGGCTTCATAATCATTGGTATAGGTCTGTTTTGTGCACAAAAGGTTGAAATTTTGACTGTCGATTCCTTGAGGAAATATTGTAACCTCTACAGTGTACAAGATAATGGAAGAAAAAGGAAATACACAGATGAGTAAGAATGTTCATTTAATAGGATAAATAAACCACCTAAGTGCCTTCAGAAGATCCTTTAGCCCATCCCGATCCAAAACATAGAGGATGCATTTTGACAGAGATAGAAAGGTGAAAGAATTAATGAATAAGTATCATTTGAACTAGAATGTATTAATTTAAACTAGGGCTCCAATAAAAAGGAACAGACAGATAACGACATTCTAGAAAGAGGAAAAATAACTGACACAGGTTGGTGGAAGCAGAGAACAAATGCACAGAAACTGGAGATGAATCAGATGAATCTGAAGGCCTGCTGGCACATGGGGGCAGCGGGAGACGCTCCCGTCTGCATGCACGGAGATCCTGGGGGGCCCCTGTCCTCGGTTCTAGCTGCCTCACAGCCGCCATCCAGCAACTATCCTGCAGGGACCCTGGACAATCCTGTCTGCAGCCCCGTGGAGCCTGACCGGGTCCGACACTTGGTTCCAGCTCCACCCAGCCATGGTTTGTGAGCCGTCCTGCAGGCATAGGGACCCCCAGGAACACTCAAGTCTGCACATCTGGGGGCCCTGGAATGCCCCAGTATCTGGCTCCAGACCCGCCAGCCTCTGTCAGGAATGAGGTCAGCTCCATCAGGGACTTAGTGGGAGACACGTCCATCTGCACCTCCAGAGCCAGGTCTGCAGATGTTGGTCTGGGCTTTGGAACCTGAAGCAGCCACGGGGCTCAGACCCAGGCCCCCTTCGGCACAGTCCAGGGCCCATCCTGCGCCCTGAGGGACCCAGCTAGGGAGCAGCAGCAGCAGCCCTCCCAGGCAGCTTAGGAGCCGTGCCCATCTGCACCCTAGCAAGGGTGCACTCTGGGAGGAAACCTGGCCTAGGGCCACCCCCTGAACACGGTGATGCAGCCAGTGTCATCTACCCAGGGACCAGACGGAACCCCGGCCTGCCTAACCCCCTGGTGTGCACACTTCCCCCATGGACCCCACTGCGGACCTACAACAGCTCGGAAGCCAGCCGGGACCCCGCATGGCTGCGATTCTAAGGTGGTTCCATCAGCCTGGACAGAAGGTCTTCACCTGCCAAACCCAGTCTGTGGAGCTCTGGGGGCCTTTTAGAGGCTCAGTCACGCTGCCAGGGCTCTAGAGGGCGAGCACTTGTGCTGGCCTGGGCCAGAAAAGGTCGGGAAGCTCTCATCCTTCACGGGGCCTCGCGTCTCTGCTCAAACAGCAAGTAGAAGCCGAGGTGGACCTCACACGAAGCCGAGGTGGACCTCACACGGTCGGGGCTCGCGAGGAGTTCTCCATGTCACGAGTCTCTGTCCCGCGTGTGCTGTCCGCGAGCCGGCCAGGTGAAGACCTCAACGGCCAATGCAACAGGAACACAAGACTGTAGATTTACCCCAGTTAACTGGTCACTAGTTAAATAAAAGCAACAATAACAAGCTGTGGGGAAGGCAGGGATCTGATCTCTGGCACTCCTATATTATGTTTTTAAAATTTCCAGCATTCAACAAAAACATAGAACATGAAACATGCACAGAAACAAACAGGAAACATGGCCCACACATGGGAAGATAGCATCATGGAAACCCCCCAGGAACCTGCAGAGAGGAGATTTGACAGTGTCTTTAAATCAGCTATTTCAAATATGTTTTCAGAACTAAGGGCATATGTATAAGGAATATGTAGAAAGGAATATGTATCAAGAATTAAAGTATGAAACAGTGTCTCACCAAACAGAAAGATCCGTAAGTATGTCAAAATTATAAAAAGAACCAAATAGAAATTCCCACTTTGGGAAGTGCAATCAATGACATGAAAAATTCAGCAGAGGGGTTTAACAGAATATCTATCTGAGCTGGCAGAAGAAATCATCGGTGATCTGGAAGACTGGTCAACAGATTTTTTCTAGCTGAAGGAACACAGAGAAAGAACAAAGGGAAAAACAAGAACAGAGCCTAAGAGATCTGTGGACATGACAATGGAGGCATAACAGGATACCAAACAGAGGGAAGGACAAAGGGGCGGGAAGGACCCTGGGGGAATAGTGGCTGACAATTCCGATGGTTGTCCGGACGAAACTGAGTCCCTTTGCATGTGTGCAGAAAATGAAGTTTCCAAGGTATTGGACCAAGAGCTAATATCGAAACTACTTGTATATAAATACATAAGGGTCTCCAAGACTTTCTTCAGATTGATCTCGTCTATTGACAATAGGGATAATAAAAAAATTTATATTTGAAGTTACTGCACAAATATCCATACAGGGTATTTACTAAGGAGTAATTGTTACTAAGCTTCTTTGTCATCTCATCAGACGTGGCACCAATCTCATTAAACTAGCTTTAGTGGAGAAGAGAGATCCAAAGAACAGAAGATGTTATAAAAGCCAAGCGAACTCAAAGTAGTTGATCCCTGGAGGCTTACATGGTGACAGGCAGTAGGTGAGTCCTAAGTACAAGGAGGACTGCCACGCACGTTTCACTCCTGCTCAGCCTGAAGGTGGGCAGAGAAAACAGGCAAATACGGAAGTACAGACCATCTTCCGTTATGGCCAATGCCTGCTCAGAGCCTTAGGAATCCTTCCTAGAAGACCTGGATGGAGAAGCTGACCCATTACCACCTTTGTCCTTTCCTGGGCTGACTTTTCCTCCCTCTGCAATATCAAAGGGTCCCCTCGGTACACGGCGACATTCAGCCCTCATCAAGATACACTCAGCATGTTCCGTGTATTTGTCTTTTTCATCAGTCACTGAGGTTTTTATTCACCTCTGTCCCCAGGGCTAACACATTGTGTGGAATATAGAAGCCATGTGATAAAGATTTCATTTACAAGTTAATGAGTGAATGAATGCATGGAATACAACTGCTTTAGCCCAGTAAGAAGCTGGTTGAAGGAGATTCCTCCACTATTAACTTTAAAGAGGTTAATTTTAGGGTCAATCTGGAGCTATCATTACTGACTAAATACTGTGCTATTCTCCCTGCTGTCCGTGTATATTAAATAAAAATATTTAGACAGTGTACAGATAACATAGCTCAAGGATTAACAGTGCTAAAACATACTGTGTGCTCAACACATCTGGTAGTTAACTGGCAAGGCAGGTTTAAGGCAGAAATAATTAGTGTGTTTGCTTTAAGAACTTGGATTTCTTTAGTGAGTGAATCGTGGCTCATCATGACCTTCAGTCTTCATTGAAACAGTGAACGTGTTCAGACACACAGTGGACCTCAGCTCATCTTATAATACCATGTTGACATAACTCAAACGTATATTTTTCTCTTTTGTCGAAAAAGGGTCCAAGGGGTTGAGGTTAGTAGGAAGGCAAAATATCAAGCCTGAAGCTCAAGAAAAAATGAACTTGAATCCAAGCTGAATTTTATACATAATAATTTTTAAATCTCTCAAAACAGATCTAAGAGACCATGTGACTTGAAGAGAAATATCATTTAATCTCAGAAACAAGTATGCTCAATATGTTGAAGGAGTCTTACACATATTAGTATTTTGTTAACCTTTGGCAATTATCCTTTGTGAAATCTATACTTTTAAAACATAAATTTACTTATTCCAGAAGAAAATAGTAAAAATCTTCTTACCTCATATACATTGAACTGTGATTGCCCTCTAGAAAGCTCCCTATAGCTTGTTGTAAATTCTCCAATGAAATCATGGCTAAAATTAAAGGCAAAGAACATATATTAGCTTTCACACATTTGTCAATTACATTTTAAAGCTTTTTAGAAATGTATACATTAATCATAAAAAAATGCTTGATATTATCAACATAACATAAATAATATTTTGAAATAAATTTTTATTTCATGGTCCTTTATATATAAAATTTAATTTCAATGTTCTTTATGTATACTCAAAAAGTACATTGTTAGTATTCAAATAATATTTAACTTATCACACCAATGTCAGTATTTCAAATGGGGATGTAAGTTTTAATAGCTCATGTCACAAAAACATGCCATCATCTATGCTATTCAAATGATTATTTATTAGAATGAAAGTTTAAAACACTTAAAACTTATTATTTATATCAACTATCACAAAAATACAAACATCTTTTCTATGACCAGGACACTATTTTTTAAAGGGTATCCCATGCAAACATGGATAATAGCTACCAAGCCTTCTTTCAACAATAATTTAGAAGAAGTATACTGTTAACACCAATGTGGTTTTCCTGAATTTCTTTACATTAAAGCAATGCTCACTGCCTTCTCAGAAAGCAGCCCTTCTACAGGGGCCTTCTCAGTTTAGTAGGGGAAGGGGTGAAGATTCGTGAGGATGTGTACATTCTCCCTCTAAAATCCTTATCAATGTGACTGCTGAAGCTGACCTGTGCAACTGTAAAAAAAACATGGTATGCGTCCAGCAGTTTAGGGGGTACGTGATTCCTACCACTCTGGGCTTGCTTAGTGGCCCACTAGGCTGAGCCACCACTGCAGAGAAATGCTGGTATTCAGTGCAACAGTGAAACGTGATGCATCCGAAGAAAGAGATAAAACTTGCAGGTGCTCAAGTCATGTAACAAACATAAGGGATGTTATTGCTATTTGTGTCACAGAATTTAAGCTTGGACCCTTCATGTTGCAGATGCAAGGTGTGCATTCCCATTAAGGAAAGGTATTTCCCCAACCCTCCTGTAGGTTTAATGCTGAGCTGTGAATCACTAAGACCCCTAAACCTTCCACAGACCTCAAAACCAGTGACTACAAACAGATAAGTTGCAACTAGTCAACGAAACACTGATTCCTGGAGATGGGATTTGGTAGAAAAAACTAGTTGCCATTAATTTCAATAGAGTTTTTGCAATAGGAAATGTTTAAGTGTGAAATGCAGCTCATTCAGATATCCAGCCTGCCAGTTCTCCTTATCTCAAAGATCTTGAACACATCTCACATTCCCCTTTACACCCGGATCGCCTCGACTTCTTCTAGATTTAACTTCTAGAAGCAGATCTACACACATGGAAATGGTGAAAGCAAAGCTGATTGGACACCATATAAATATATTTGTATTTATGAACCCAAATCCCTAGTCCTCTGAACTTACACGGGAGAATCACTTAAACAGTACTTGGTGCTACACATTTCTAATAAATAAAACAATTCTTTTTGACCTTCAGAAGTGCAAGCTCACAACCATGACATCTTTCACTGGGATCTTTAAAATGCTGAGCTATAGAGATTCTCTTTAGAATCTACCTTTCTCCATTCTTATGCCTGTTTCAGATATTTTAATTTAATAGCTAGTGAAATAAAAGGTTCTGTTAGAGCACTTCTGACACACTTCTGTGATACTGGTAAGTGCAGACAAGCCTTATATAACCAGAGCTTACCAAACTAGTGGTGGGAACTTAATACAGAGGCTTAAAAACTGCCTGGATTTAAGCCCTTATGGTAGTTTTCTGACTGCTAATCCTACCCTCCTTTGGTTAACTGTTTAAAATCAACAGTCCATGCTTACTTAATGCTAAATTCCTGCAACTCAACACTCATCAAAATCTTGGTATAGAGGAGCAATATTTACTGGTCCCAAGTAGTGTGATAATTCAATCAAATCTCAGGGAAATGTAATATACCCATCTAACAGAGGGCAAATCTGGACCCAGTGACAATGGTCATGTTTACAACACTGCACACTGACAGACCCAGGCTGAAGTCACTGCAAAACTTTCTAAGAAGCAGCTCTTTGATATTTGGTGCTGTTTTGTTCTTGTTAAATTTCTTACTCTCTATAGAACTGAGTGATGAACAATGGGTGCAATTCTCTTTGGGCTCAATGTCAGAAAGGACCCTGATGTCTCCCCCTGACTTAGTTGTGAGACAGCCTAAAGCCAAACTTCTAGGAGAATGTCTTGGTGATACCCTGTCCCAGCAGACTTCCCAGACCCCTTTCCCTATTTCCCCTCGGCTTCAACTTCCTCACAGGGTGTAGTTCAGCATCTTATTCTATGCCTTTCTATAAGCTTCCTTGGGTCCTTTTCAGAATAAGACAGGACATAAATAAAAGAATAAATAAATACACCACCCCCCATTCTGAATCTTGTTCAGGATGATTATTTTGAACACTGAATTTGCATGTCTTTAAAAACAGTGCTATCCTTGTGTGGTACAGGGGGAAATGTACTGAGTTACAAATTGCATTTCAGCCTCCAAGACATTTCTGTGAGATAAAGAAAACACATCATTGTGTCTTTTCAGATCCAGAGAAGTAGATGATCCAGAAGTAAGGATACTGGTCAAAAGGTCATCAGCAGAAGGCAGTAAGTGGGGAGCAATAAACCAGCCCTAGATAAAAGGTGCTTTGTCTTCAGAATAAATCTGAAGAATTTGGGTGGATAAGCTGATGGATTCTCAGGCTGACTGTTACAGAGCTCTTGGAATATATGAAAATTTTTATAGTCTCCTTTTTAACCTGTCCTACTTCAAAAACTGTATGTTAAAAACATATACAAGTACTTTAAAGAAAGCATTAGATGTGGTTTTCACTGACTTATTTTTACAACCATCTTTTCCCCTATCATCAGCTCTTCCTAGACCAGAACAGAAAAATGTAATTTGCTTTAATATTTTTATCTGTTCATGATTTTCAATCACCATATTAAAACAATTATTACTATACAGAGAAATATGATGGAAAGATTTTCATAATAAATCACAACCAACAATTTCCTTGTGATTCAATAATACCGCTTTGCTATTTCCTGTTAATTTAATCGTAACTAATTGGTCCATGTTCCAAGTCTCTCCGACCGCATGTACAAAATAAAGTTTACTCCAAGGATATTCACCTGATTTGTGTCTGTTTATATCTCTGAGTTTTTCCCCATTCTTTTTATGTATATATGTTACTTAAAATCTGAGGACATAAATTAAAGAGATATTTAAAGCAAATGATTACTTCTCTAGCTAGTAGTGTGGCTCTGAAAAGGCTTCTTTGAGGAAAGTGGTTAATTGCTAAATAAAATCTGTATATTACTCTGTTAAGATAAATGGATATTATGTATACTGAGATTTACTTCTGAAACTTGTGAGCGAGTCCCTACTTAACAAACATGTGCACCCTCCCCTACTTTGGGCATCTTCTTCTCTGGTACCATTTATCTTTTACTCTAGAGCCTAGCTTTGTCCTCCAAGAAAACTTTCCTGCTTAACGGCCTTCCTGCCGGCTCGCCAAGAACCCCACCATCTCTCCATCATCACCCCTCCTGCGCTGTTTCGCTCCTGTTGCTTACCTACCTCTCGTCTCAGCCCGTATCGTACTTGAAGATAAGGTGCTAAATTCATCTCAGTACTCTTAGCATCTACCTCAGGGCCTGGTAAACCCTGGGCATGACTGAATGTTGTGAATTATCACGTTATTACCACAAGTGCCAACCACACCATTGCTGTTACTCTCTCTTCTTGAAAGTCACTCAGAGTGAAGAAGACAGAGTCACATCAAAGGCACAGAAAGAAGAGAAAGAGAATATTATTTTTTTGTTGGCATTTCTGATGGTATTCCTGAAGGCCAGCCTGCCCTGCAAACAGCGGATTCTTATTTTCTGGACTGTCATTCAACTAGTTTTGCACATGTTCACACAAATGGCAAGCACGTCCTGAACCAATCTCATCACTTCCTCTTGAATAGGTCAGCCAACTTCGGGATCCTCACGTCTTCACCTAAAAATCGGAGGCAATGCCTGCTTACTGTTTCAAAAATAAACCCACAGAATTCGTTTGATTCTTTATGGGAGGTCTTTAACTCCTTAAAGAAGCCACTACTAAAGTATGTTTTTGTAATTATTAAGAATATGACTTCAGACCCATATACGTAGTTTTTAAAGATGTTTCAGTCACAGTAACTTGTGAAGATGCAATAGGCTTACGAACTGGTGTGTATTGTGCTGTGACATTCTGGAGTTACACATGCTGGTGGCTTGTCCTGCTCTGATGCATGAATGCTTCATTCATGAAGTAGTAACTCTCCTCTGGAGCACATCGCAGGGTGACATATTTCAGGTGTGCACTGAAGGAGACTCAAATGGGGCATTTGTACACAGATTGTATATTAAAGACAGTTTCTGTGCACACCTATATTTACTGCAGCACTATTTACAATAGCCAAGATGTGGAAGCACCCTAAGTGTCCATCAGTAGATGAATGGATAAAGAGGATGTGGTACATATACACAATGGAATATTATTCAGCCATAGAAGAAAACAAATCCTACCATTGCAACAACATGGATGGAGCTGGAGGGTATTATGCTCAGTGAAATAAGCCAGGCAGAGAAAGACAAGTACCAAATGATTTCCCTCATCTGTGGAGTATAACAACAAAGCAAAACTGAAAGAACAAAACAGCAGCAGACCCACAGAACCCAAGGAGGGACTAGCAGTTAGCAAAGGGGAGGGCAGGTGGGGAGGGAGGGAGAAGGGGATTGAGGGGCATTATGATTAGTACACATTTAGTTCTACCTTTTATTAGGTTTAGAAAACCCAAATTCAGAGATCATTTCATTGTTTTCTATGTTCTGTATGTTTTACTCTTTCTATTTATGTAGAAATTATTTTTGTCAGTGTATGAGTTTTGATTCATTCTTTGGTTAGTTTGAATCTTATACATAAATTATTTCAAATCATAGAAAAGTCTCACTTGGTCATTTTTCAATTTAC